TTATAAGTGTTTTGATTGCATTGTTTCTCTCGACTTAGTCTAGGAAAGGGTAGGCCTCCAGGCCAGTAGAGCTCCCGGAGGCCGTACGTTCCCTGAGGTACATCCTCAGTAGAAGGATTTTTTTTCCCTTTTTCTTTCTTAATTAACAGATCAGATGTGGGAATAATTATAAATAAACATCAGGCAGTGTCATTTAGAGACTGGTCACTTTGACTAACACGTGATGAGTCTATACATAGCCACACAAGGGATTAAGCTCCCAGCACAGCTGTAACCAGGACTGCTCACATCCTGGCTCTGGTTTTTGTGCAGGACACAGCCCTGACATTCCGCTCATTATACCGAAATTCAGAGTTACCAGTGAATAGTCCTATTTCAGATCTCAATGGAAGCGAATACTGGTCCTCCTCACAATAAGAGTGTTTTCCCAGACAAAGCCAACACTGGTATAACAGAAATGATGCTAGCAAGAAGTGATGTGAATTGGTAACAAAGAAGCTTGATCAGCGTGATGGAGACAGACAGTCAAAGGCACAAATTAAATCTCAGACACAAATTAATTTCTCATTCATTTTTCTGTACACTGGTGCTACAAAACACTTTGTTAAAGTTGCATTGAAGGTAGAAGCTGGAAATTATATTGTTTCAAGAGCTGAAAATGTTCTCTGTGGAGAAATTTTAAACCCATAAACTTTTCCTTTTCTTCCTTTTTTAAAATAGTGCATCAAAATGCATGCAGAGCAGATCTATGAATTGCTACGTGGTTTTATTTTTTAAATTGCCAGTCTTTTTTATTCGGTGGTCTTATAAACATAAAATTGATAAAACGGACAGCTTTCTTTCTAAGCTAGCTTACATCTCTCCTTTTTTGAAAGCTTCCTAAACATGCAAGCACTCCATAAAAAAGTAACTGGTGCATGCAGAAGCAATGCAGTTCACAAATGAAGCAGTATAATGTCAATGGTTTGAAATTGTTCAGTCTCAGTTGTTTTCCAAGTCAATGCACTGGCAGTCTTGCCTGAATGCAACTAGTCAATAGAGGGAAAATAAATAGAGCATTTCCAGAATTCACCCATCAGCACTGAAAAGTGTCTGCTTACTATTACACAGTTTTAACATGTCATAATCGTTTTTCACAGTATAGAAACCCTCCTTATACCTTGGACAAAGAATGAATGACTATTTTAGCACCCTATACATATCTTCTAATAGAAATTCCAAGCAAAATATATTGATTATAGTATTGTAAGTGGTATGTGTTATTAAAGTAGAATCTGAATCCTTTAGCCTATTTTTAATGCTACATTATGAACAAAAATTTCTAATTTGGATATCTAAAAGCAGAGACTTCTGTATTTGGACTTCTGAACAGACTCATTTAACATTTCTGTAAGTATCTGTACATTGAAAGAGCTCCCTGTAATTTCAGGTAGAGTTGCGCATCACAATTTATGCGCAATATTATTCCCATAAAGAATCCTATTGACTATTAAGTTGGACAGGTTTTGCTCGCATAGGTAAAAGCTTTAGTGCCACAGCTCTGTGACTTTAAGCACCCATACATTAAGCAGCAGAGAGCTACAACTGGCCCCTATCTTTCTATCTTTTATTTCTCCCATGCCTGTACGACAAGTGCTATGTCAAATAGCACCACTAGGCTGAATACCACACAAAGAAAGAAAAGAAGCAGACAGGACAGCCACATTGCTACACTTTCCTTTTGAAAAAAAGGTTATGCCTGCCTCTCCAAGCATCTAGATGCGAAATTACATCTAAGGTGCTATGCTTACTTAGATAAGGTCTTTGCAATGTCACATAATTACAGAAAGGACCTGCCATAGTCTGAAAAATAAGAAGTATGTCTTTTCCAATCCCCTGCCTTGTTATCTGTCACCTGGATGAAAATCATGTGAAAAAAAATAAAGAGGGGAAAAAAATTCCCCTTCAGACCCAAGAACACACTAACGCCCATGGATATAAATGTTACAATAAAAGAGCAGGACGACTACTAGCAGAGCTTTTATAGCTTAACAGTATTTTGACAACAAATGTTCATATTTCATTTGAAATTTATGAAACCTTTGTGCCTGTAATCCCATGAGCAGCTACATGGTAAATGAAAGTAGCAGGCAGTCTAGATTAATAATACTTTGCTTCATACTGGAAGAGCATTCTAAGGAAAAGAAATCTTGCTTTATCTGCTCTCCCACTTTCTTTTTTTTTTACAGTCTCTGTATTGGAACAGATTCAGAGCTCTAAAACCTGCTTGCAAATATTCACAGATGCCTTATTAATTTATGAGAAACTGAAGGACCCATCACAAGGTATAAGCAAGCAATTTAGGAATAACAAGTTGAGGGGTATGATACATGGCAAAATACCACAGCTCCTAGTGTTAGAGAGCTACCAATGGTTTAAATCAAGTTCAAGGGGAATACCTGGGGTAAGTTCCTGTACTTCATAGTCTAATAAAAAATTGGTATGAAAAAAACCAGTTGCCCTATGAATCATAACCTTTGCTTTCACATTTTCACGGTTTAGAAATACATGTATGCTAAAAGCTCAAGTATGGCTTCTTGCACTTAAATGTATAAGTGTATAAGTGTCTTTTTCAACAGCTCTATTTATCTTTGAGCATATCCAACAGAAAGCGTTGGGGTTTTTTACTTTTTTTAAAGTAGTCTCAGTGCAAGCTATCATGGCAAATATGATGTGTGCCAATTATGTGCCTAGAAAGTAGATATTTATTTTTATTAAAATTTTTACACCTTTTTTGAACTCTCATGTAGACTTCTCTCACATGCAAAAGGTATACTAGGCTGGTAAGACCACACTCTGATTTTGTGCTTTGTTCCAAATCATGAGTCACATGAAATATAAGAGAGAAAAAAAAGGTAACTTATTTCAAGCAGCAACTGGAGATACATTTTTTAAAAATAGTTATTAAAAACAGTCCTTTTGCCCCCTTTTTGTGAAAAATACTGCTTTTGTTCAGCTATTCTTAATTTCAAGCATTTCTGAGGCTTTTCCTTTTCTGAGTTTTATGTCAAAACTTAACACTTTAGCGTTTGAAAAACAGCATCTCTGAAGAACAAATACTGAAATTGCCATTAAATAAGATACACAAAAATTCATGGGTATTTGATCTGTAAGATATTGCAGTAAAGGAAGTACTTGCTAAAGAAACAAGCATTTAGGTCAAAAACATTGTCCACTGGTGGGAGAAAGGCTGGGAAAACATTGGGTGAAGCAAACACAACTCGGGAAAAGTGAATGACAGAATGGAGAAAGAGTAATATAATAGCAAAGTTAAAAATAGAGTCTAGGCAAACTGTTTTACTCACACAGTAAAAACTGTAAAACAGGGCATTAGACGGTTGTAGGAAAACCACATAAAATACACAAAGGTAAAGGGAGGTACCTGAGAACAATGTTGTTGTGGATGCTGTGTCACTAAGGGACTCTAATATTTCCAAACTACTAAAAAATGAAATTACAAAGGAATTGAGATATATGATTAGGGTACCAAATCTCTGAGAATAATAAAAAAAATATCCCTTGTTATCTGTGACACACAAACAAATAAATTCTTTGACTGAAAGTGGTTCCAGAAAGACATCCTCAGCCTAAAGGTCCAAGATTTGCCATCTGGAGCAAACCACTGGTCAACATTTTGACAGTGATCAAAGGAACATATAAGAAGTGTTCATGGAATATATTGCTAAAAAGATTCTAATTCAGAGTTGAGGTATAGTTCGATATATGCCAGAGTGCTTTAAAACCTTTTTTCTTTCTTTTATTTATTTAAGAATCACCTTAAATGGTCATCATAATTTTTGAGTCATCTTCCATGACTACTTTTGACATAGAACTCCATGGACTCATTGGCTGCTAAGTAGAAAATCACTTCATTTATCTTCTTCTTCCTTTCTAAGAAAAGGTGAGTGGAACAGGAAAAAAACCCTACATAAAGAAATGGTGATGTATTCCTCTCTTCTTCTTCAATTACTGACCCATCAGCTATTAAGATTTTTTTTGCCTTTCCTTTGACTATGTAAAGAATACCGTGTTCAATATGACACATTGGAGAACACACATCTAAGGCTTTAAAATATTTAACTTTTATAATACTGCATGATTTCTCATTTATTACGGAAATACAGACTACGATTAAGCTTAATAGATTTCTTTTTCATTTAAATCAAGACTACAACCTCTTTTTAGCAAATAGGTTTTCTTCCCAAAATAATGCACTCTCAGCATATTCATGTGGGTATCCAGTAACATCAGCTTCTGCTACTGGGAAGAGGAAGATCAGATCACCAGAAAGGAGACTACAAGCATCACGTATTATTGCATCTGAGTGTCTCAAAGCTAAATTTGCAACCTTCTGGTAATTTAAAATGCCTGTTTCAGTCAGCTGCTTAATCCAAATCTGAAAAGCATTTGTTCAACCCATTAGTGCACTGTGTAGCTTCTGGGGAAACAAGCCCTGCTCGGTGTAGACCTCCTAGCATGGGCAGAGTCTGCATGGTAGGCCGTCACACTGATGTTTGCCTTTCAAAGGGCAAGTCATTTTAGGAAAGATGGTTTTTGGTGGTTCATTGAAGAAAAGAAAAAAACCCACCAAACTTACAGTCTTGTGTTTTCACTAATATTCCACAATTAATATTTACCACCAAAACCAGAATATGAGAGTTATATTGTTTGAGTTCTTTCCTCATAAATACACTTCGGATTGTCAAATATATTAGCAACTAAAGAAAGTCTTCCATCAGCATCTGTGCTGAGTGGATTCAATAACGGTCTAACCAATTTACTATAAAACTTTTATAGAAGCATTATATACTTGCATCAGGTTCACAGTTTTATTAATTTACACAGATTTTATGGTTTCTTGAAGTTCTTACATCTGAAAGAATGAACTGATACTCAAAGAAAGCTGAGTCTAGTGAGAAAATGATCTGCTTAAATACCATTCAGTCTCATAAAAGAGTAACTATACAGTAGTTATACCACCATCTACATTTCCATATTTATAAAAACTGATAGAGGTATAATCGGTTAATAAGTCCTGCTCCTTCTAATGCACAATAAAATAAGTTTTACTGATCAGCTTTGTGGTTTAACTGCTAATTTGGAGGGGAAGGGGGGGTCTTGAAGGAGAGCAGGGTAAAGGGAGGTTTAGGGGATTTTTTTTGCTTTCTAAAGAGAAAGGTCCAAGAAGTAATTGTTCCTCCAAGTTCACTTTCAGGATGCTCCAGAGCAATAAATTAAAAACAGTTTTCTTCCTTTCCAAAATAGGACTAAAGCATTAACATATTTTAACATTAACATATTTTATGAAGTGAGACTCGATCAGAAAACATTGGCTTTGTTTCTGTGTCCTGCATTGGTAGCCAGCTAAGTCCAAGAACAAACTGTAAACTTCTACACTAAGGTTTGGCCTGAAAAATCAGATATTGCTTAATGAAGTATACACTGTACCATATTATATTGTTTATGATACCAGAAACTACACAATTATTGAGTAGCTATGCACCTATCCAGGGCCTAAAAACCAACTCCATTATTTGTACTCACATAATAATTCCATGATGGAACATCTCCTGTAACTATTACCTCACAAATAAGCACAGCTTACATACCAGTATAATTACATAAGAACAGAATAAGACACGAGAATAGTGTGGAATAAAAACCTGCTTGAAGTCAAGCGGATTGTTGCCTACAGGTAAAGCGAATGGGCTTGCTAAGGAAGAGGTAACCGCCTCACCCTCCTGGACCTGAGGAGTATCGAGTACATTGCTTCAGAGTGTGAGCGATGTGACAAAATGGACACGTAGGCACATCCTGCGCCATGGGGACAAGCCCTGCCAAACACATTATTTATAGTGTGTGTGTGTGAGTATATAGTATATACACAGTATACAGAAGTATAGGTACAGAAGTGTACGTATATAGTGTATAGAAGTATATATAGTATATAGACGTGTATATATATATACACACTATATACACTACTTCTATGTATATTCAGAAGTGTATATATATCCAGAAGAGCGTGTGTGTGTATATATATATACACACACAGGTGTTTGTGGGAGGGTGGGTGGGTGTGTATACACACACACGCACATCCTTCTGGATAAAGGAACGGCAGAGAGAATTTTTCAGTGGAATCGATCTGAACTGGAAGCAAGTCCCTGGGCTAAGATTGAGCATCAAATCCTCCTTGTGACCCTTACTGAGGGGCTGCACTGCACCCTGGCATCAAGAGGAGTTTGTTACTCTGACCAAGCACAGGGCAAAACACACCTTGAAGACAGACGGACTCTCCTATATAGGTTTAGTTTCATGTTTGCTCAGACTTAAAGTCTTTCGAGCTAAGTAAATGGATTGAAGCCAGAAAGTTTGCTAGTTTGTGTATTTTCAGTTAAACAAAAAAACTGTAAATAAACTGGTAATGACAGGGGATTGAGTGTGCTTAACCTGGGACTGCTCTGAACCTTTTTTCCCAGCTGCTTAAACTTTGGTATTAGCCCAAGAAACAAACAAAAACTTTTAGCCAGTAAACAGTGTTCAGTGGCTCTTACGGCAGTTCCAGAAGAGCAGCTCCAAGAAAGAAGCTGTCATGATTTTGAAGTATTTTTCTTCCAGATGCTATTTTTATAATTTTCACAACATAATGTTTTTACTAATACTTAGATATACACAACTTCAAAAACGAAGCTACAGTAAATTACAAAGCCAACTCCAAGTAATTTTACTAGGTTAATTTTCCCCATATTTTCTCCACACTCAAATTAGCTGAATCAAACTCAGCTAATTTAATATCAGAGCAGTATCTTCAAAGGTGTGTTTCCTAAATAAGATAATATCGAGTGCATGCTGTATCTGCAAGCAGTAAGAGATCTGTAATGTATGCTTTAAGGAGAGAAGGGCATGAGAAGATCTAATAAAACTTGCAATACCTAATCCCAAATATATAGAACAAAAGGAGAGTCTTCTTCAAGATATGACACAGACAAGAGTGAACAAGTGAAGGAAGTCAATAAGAAGTTTTACAGTAATATCAAATAGATCCTTATTTCTGTAATGCATGTGACTTCACTTGCACAAATCCTCTGTGTATTTTAAGACCACAGTCTTTAAAGGGTTCCACTGGATATTTGCTCTACCCTTCACCCCAGTGCTCTGAGCCATAGCTGACCTGGAATTGTATTACAGGCTTTTTTTAACCAAAAATTCTGCTCTCGCTTAAGAATTATATTTATAAAAAACAAAGAAGACAGCCTTAATTATCATATTTAGTATGCTATATCATAAATCAAGACATAGTACTCTTGTACAGTTCTAAATCACTTTCCTCTCCCACCCACAAAGACCACATAAACCAGGAGTGTTGATCCACAGATAAGGTACCCATCCAGAAGGCATTTATTGGATTCTCTCCCATCATCCAACCTCATAAAGGTCAAATATAAACTTCCTGATAAAATGTAGAAACAAAAATACAACTACAATTAGAGCACCCCAAACCTGTAAAAATGTACCTACCTCTGAATACCTGTTCATTTAATTCCAACTACATTAATTGTTTATAATACCTGAACTGAACAAGCCCTTTAAAACATTTAAGAGTAGCTCAGATTTCCAATCTGGTCTCTCTTTTGCAATTTCTGAGCACAGCAACAAAACAGAAACCCACATGAAATGCAGAACCTTTTTATTTTTTTTAAAAACCTAATAAACTTTATAAATACATGTATTTCAGCTGTTCAGACTAAAGACTATGTGCATTTCCTCAGCCAAGCACTGATTATGTTGAACAGAAACACAATTTCTGTGAAAATATGAATGTGGTAGCTATACATTCATCCCAACCTTTTAGTTGTCTTTATGGCATTAGTCCAATTCTACAACACATAAAAAAAAGGAACAGAGTCTCCTTTTTTGTGTGTCTTTCCACAGGAAAGATGAAGATTGGTCTGGTTTTGGAGAGTAGTTTAGTACTAGTGGTAGTTCGGCCTTCCCCCATGTGTGTCTTTCCAAACCATACTGAAAGAAGTAAAAAGAAAGCTATGCTGAATTTTTCTCAGTAGAAGTGGAGAGGATTATAAATTGCTCTGAAAGCTTTCTTGACTTTAAAATTATATCGAATTTTGCTCTTTTACATGTGAGAACTGCATTTTCTGTGAATTGGTGATTTGTCCCAATGTTTCATGTTTCCTCAGCTATTATCCTCTGTTACTCATGCTCTTTCCTATCCCTCGTACTCAACCATTTTCTGTTCTCTCTACCCATCCCAGCACCCCCCAATTTCTTCACGTATCCAACAAATTATGTCCTTTCCTATTTCCCCTGGATACTACCATGAGAAGTTTAAACTAACAAAAAACCAAGATGAAATTAAAATAACAGGTACAAGTGACCAGAGAAACATTGTGACTCTTTATAAATTGAATATAATTATAGTATGAGGGATTGTGCTTAAACCTTTGGCATAATAATAATTATAATAATTCATACAGTGAAATAATTGCAAAAATTAAGAACCTTAGTTAGTTTCAGGTAGTTTTTGATGGAAGTCTCCTTTATCATCCATATGTTTTGTAGTTAGACATTTCGATTGCTGCCTTCAAGAACTTAAATAAGAAATCAAAGGCCAATAAGGAAAATAAAAATAGTCAGTTTAAATGATGTATCGACCAGGGAACCATAAGGTAAATTGAGATATATACGCTTATGTTGCAAGTAACTCATGGCAGTCACAACTTCTCTTTTCTCGTATAGAATCAATACGTAGTTGTGCTTCTTTAAGAGAAGCCAAAGTAAAACATATCCTTTTGGAAAAGAGATCTTCTTACATACAGTATAAACAACTGAAGAACAAGGTAGGTATTAATAAAATATATATAATAGTTATTTTCACCTTCAGTTAAATTGTGCCCTATTTTATAGTGCTGAAATCGAAAAATCTTAAAATAACAACAAATCCCCAGGCATCTACTAACAAGGGTGCTATAGAGATTTAGAGGCCTCTAGTGATTTTGAGAGTGCTAGTTTGTGTACCAGCATCAGACTGATGTTTCTGCATTGAAAACCTGCAGCCGATCATTCTCATATTATTTTGGTTTTGTTATGTGTGGTGGGGGGAGTATTATTTTCTTTTGCATTAGGACTCCGAGAGCTCAGGTTTCATTGTTCAGCGCAACAAAAACATACACAGAGAGCAGTCCTCCAGCTCCTGCAGGCAGAGACTCCTCCCGCTCGTGTTCATTATTTCAGAGACCCAAACCCCACTACAATATCCATGTCTGTGGTATATGGCAGGTAGCAACATGGATTAGCACAAGCTATGTGTGGGCACGGGCACCCAGAGTCCTATTTGCATGCACCTGGGTGGTAAACAAAGATACCAAGTTCTGACAGCAGATTTAATGGCGGCTTTTTGCTTATTTTTAGTTCAAGAATATTATGCATCGGTTAGAACATATGAAACGTATGCGTGCTGAAGCATTCCGGAATTCTCCTGTTTAGATCCTCTTGCCACACCTCTTCAAGATTACAAGTTGTTTCAAGTATTATTGTCGAGCAAAGGTACATGAAAAAATTCAGCTGTTGTCTTCATCGTACCAGCAGGCATGACATACTTCCCATGTGCAATCTAAAAACACAGTAACAACTCACGAAAGCTAATATTTAAAGGCATCTTGGCATGAACTCTGACCAAAATGCACCATTTAAAAACTACAAGTCAGATAGGCAGGGCTTCTCAAGAGATACCGTTTTTTTGCAGCCAAAATTCCTCCCCTCCTACACCCTTCCCTATAGAGTTCTCAGCAGCAAAGCAATTTACTCTAGTTACTAGATCTACAATGCTAAGAGCATTTTTTCTTCTTAAAGTCATTTAGAGGGATGGGTAAACCAGACTAGGTTAAAAACAACAAAAAAAGAAGAATTACACTGCTGAATTTTCACACAGATATAACTAAATCTTTTAGCGGGACGGATTAGTT